AGGCCTGAGATCCAAACCTTGCTGTGCCTCCTTGGAATCAGCACCCCGAAATAGAAATCTGGTTTTGAAATTGTTCTGTGCCTCCCCATCCTGCTGTAGGATGTCACCTACCTCTTTTGCATATTGAGTGATCACGGGACAGCAAGTCCTGTTTTTATAAATAAGGCCACGTGTTGGGAACACAAAGATTCTCCTTAAAGAAACCACATTTAAGTGGCAGATCCCCAGTGCAATTCTTAAAAGCCAATTTGACTCATAACGCATCTAAAGAATATGGTATTGTTTGGATGGTGGTAGTCAAATACCATTTGTAATGACATTGATGTTTGGGGGCAGTTTAGCTCAAGTTCAGACACTAGGCCTCCCCATTCAGTTGGCATTTGGACCCACGTGTGGAACTATACCAGGTCCTGATCAGTTCCACTGGCTTAGCAATTGCCACTTTCAGAAGCATTTTTTAAAATTTTGTTATTTTTGACAATGATAGCATTTTTTGAAATTTTTCTAAAGCATACCAGCAATATATTCCTTGTGCAAGTTAAAAAACTAATCTGCCCTTGCCCTTCCTGCTCCAACCTCCCCCAAACAAACCCCACATCTGGTTTAAACATGTTGTTTAATTCTTTCCAGAAAGAGAAGGAGAGGAGGTGGGAAGGGAGTTTTCCTCCTTTATACCTTTCTGGTAATAGAGTTCATTGTCGTTTCTGTTCTGGGTGGGGTGAAGTGCCTAAGTAACATAAACACGCTACAGATAGGAAGCAGTTGGCACGTGGCCATGCAGCTGGATTATCCAGACATCCTTGGAAGCTTTTAGTGCAACACTCTATCCCCCTGCCTTGTTTTAAATAGCCAGATGCCTCAGTTACTGCTGGCTGTCGGAAAGGAGACCAGAGGAGATGGGGGGGCTTCTGTCCCCCCAACCCCACCATACACACCCCATCACAGAGAAGTCTGTGCCCTCAGGAAGGGGCATAGGAGGAATCAGGGCAGGAAAGAGGATGCTGCAGACCACAAGGAAAAACTAAAATTAAAAGCCCCTGTAGTCTGGAAGCCGAGGGGTGGGATATTTTTTTAAATCTCTAATAAATGAATACCTTTTGGAAACAAGTTTATGGCACTAGTGTAAGTAATGCAACTTCCCTTTTTCATGTTTACTTAATCCCCTCAAAGGAAGGAGAACAGCACACAGCTGCAACGCAAAAGAAGTAAAATCGTGTTTTAACAAGGGGTGTGCAGAGTTTCACCTTGGCCATTTCCTGTTCGGATGAACCCATAGTGTGCTCTCAGAAGAGCTGAGAAAGCTGTGTTTCATACTGGAGATTTCCAAATCCTGGGGACCCTTGGTGTTTCTAGAATAAATGGGGTATAGGGAAAAAAAGGATATTATCAAGTTGTTTGTATGTAACTAACGTAAGCAAATGTTATAAAATGTTCTTAGTCTCTATGATCTAAAGGAATATGCATGTTGAATCCTGAGATGAATGGATTAACGATAGAAACCATGTGATTTTTTAATTCCATTTCCCTGTTAATGAAAAAGAAATCTTTACCCTATCCCAATTAAGCTATTGTGGCCCATAAGCAAATGAGTATTGAACACCTTATATTTTCTCAAGGATTCTGTTAGCTACAAATAACTTTTTAAAAACCTGTTTATAAATATTGAGTATTTAACTCATTCATTCCACAACCTTCTACATGTAAGACACTGCTCTAGGCTCTAGGGATCCAGCAGTGAACAGAAAGGGCAAAGCCCCTGCTCTCATGGAGTTTACATTCTAGTTGGGAAAAGTAGGCAAACAGGACAGATGCTGATTTAGTAGCATGTAGAGAGACAAAGCAGGGTGAGAAGATTTAAGAGGAATGGAGGGTGCTACTTTAGATAAAGTGGGCAGAGAAGTCTTCTCTGGTGAAATAACCTTGGGCAGAGACCTGAATGAAATAAAGGCATGAGCCTAGTTGGTATAGGGGGAGAAGAGTGGGAAATGGGGTTTAAAGTAAAAGTAATAGCAAGTGCAAAGGCCCTGAGGTGGAGGTGTGCTTAAGTGGAGGGCCATCAAGGATAATGGGACTGAAGTGGAATGAGCAAGGGAGACAGTGGTAAGATAAGTGCTAGATTTGACTTTTACTCAGTCATATAGGAAGTTATTGGAGGGTTTGTTTGAGTAGTGTCACAATCTGACTTACCTTTCTGTTTTCTTAGAAAGTTGAGCAAGCGTGGAAGTAAGGAGGCCAATTAGGAGGCTATTGCAATAGCCTGAGAGGCGATGGCAGCTGGGATCCAGGGCAGTGTCGATGGAAGCAATAAAAAGTGGATTCTGGATATATTTCCAAGGGAGAACCAGAAGGATAGGAAGGTGTTGGGAATCAGGAGTTCCATCTGAAACATGCTGATTAAAATGCCTACTAGATGCCCAAGCCGGGAAATCACTTAGGCTGTTGGTTTTACTGATCTGAAGCTTAGGAAAGAGATCTGGGTAGAAATGTGAATGTGGGCACTGTTCGCACATGGAAAGTATTTAAGTAGTTGTTGGCCGTGGCTTGGATCGTGGATGGTTTAGCCACAGTTACAGGAGAAGAGGCAGAGTACTGGTACAGAGTAGTGGGCATGCTGGCAGGCACAGGTGCAAGGTCTCTTCTGATGTGTCTATTTTCTGGGTGAAATTAAAGCAAGCTCCTCCATCATCTGAGAGGGAGGGGGTCAGAGGACATGTGAAGTAATCTTCTTGGGGACGGATTGGGGAAATGTAACAGGATGCTGGGTGGCACTTGAGGACCCACTTGAGTTTAGTGGTTATGACTTTAAAACTACACCTATCAGCGTAGTAGAATGGAGTTTTTCCTCTAACCATGTACAACAGCCTAGGTGGGACATGGAGTTAAGTAGATGGTGGGATTTCACCCGGGTTGGAGTTTCGCCAGGCAATTACTATGAGGAAAGAGAGGGCAAACGTGTTAAGGTTTTGTGCAAAAGAGTGTGTCATGATAGACTATGGAACTTAAGTTGAGTAGCAAATCAAGTGAGAATGTGAGGGATGTGGAGAAGAGGGCAAAGGTGGTCGGAACAGTAACTTGTTGGCCCCAGCGGGGTGAAGAATTATTGGAGTCTGGAGGGAGAGAGCTGCAAAGTTGGGAGGTGGTGGCTGAAGAGCAGGATGCTTAAAATTGAGGTTATGGGGGTTGTGCAGATATTGGTAATGACAAGGTCAAGGCTGTGACCTAGGCATGGGTGGCTAAGATTGGGTGTAAGACAAGGGCATTGGAGGAGAAGAGTTCCAGAAACTGGGAGGCCAAGAATTGGAAGGATCCTGTGTTTGAATGGTGAAATTACGAAGAATCCTGACAGGGATCATAGCGGAGAGATGGAGGGACACTGAGCCCACTTGCTAACGTCCTCAAGGAATGAGGGAATTTGACCCAGAGGTCTGTAGAAGATTGAAGAAGGGTAGTGGGGGGCATGGTCAGACTTGTGAGTTTCAGGGGAACTGGAAAAAAAGGGCCACTAGCCTGCAGCAGAGGTGAATACCCTACCCACACCCAGGCTCAGCATGGAGGGTTGTGGGAGAGAGAAAGCAGCCCCATGTGCGTGGGCCACAGAGGCTTAGCCCAGAGCACCTTTTCATTTAGGTTAAGAAAGTGAAAAGAATTTATATGAGGTACCTGCAGGACTCAAGTTCATAGAGACAGAAAGTAGAATGGTGGTTGCCAGCGGCTAGATGGTGGAGAGAATGGGGAGTTAGTATAATGGGTGCGGAGTTCCAGTTTTGCAAGATGAGAAAAGTTCTGGAGATGGATGGTGGTGATGGTTGCATAACAATGTAAATGTACTTAATGCCACGGAATTGCACGCTTAAAATGGTAAATTTTTACGTTATGTATATTTTACCACAATAAAAAAAAAAGTGAAAGGAATGGTCTGAGGAAGGGAAGAGGGAGTAAGGGGGATGTTGGAGCTTGAGTCCCGGGGGCACAGTGGGAGTGGAGTTGGGTCACAGTAGAGGGTGAGCCACAGGGAGTTGTGGGAAATCTGGGTGGCTTTGCCTTTGGGGAGTGAGTGAGGCGAGCCAGGGATGTGGGGCAGAGGGACCTTCTAAATGGTCTCCAGCAGGTTACAGATGGTGGTGGCCGGGCTCTGAGCACCGGTCTTGGGGCGCAGGAAGACGGGTTCTGTGTTGCTCTGCATCTTTGTTTCCTTAGAATCTGGCATAGCGTCTGGTGTGTAGAAGACAGGAATATATGTTTGAATGAGTAAAAACTGAATTCTATCCAAGAAAGAAAACAGCAAGTGAGAATTTAATGGCCTTGCTGAAAATCCAAATAAATTTCTCAAAATGTGATGAAGAATGAAAAGAAGTTAGAGTTGGTCTCTGGAGGAGGAAGAGGGTTTTTGGCAAATGTGCAAAAGAACTTATTGCGAAATTGAAGTTTAGACTGGAAAAAATAAAATCATAAACAGAAGGCTACATGTGTGTAAAAGGTATTTGAATTGAAATATTTTCCCATCTATATAAATGATTGCATGGTGAATTTGTGATTTGAAAGTGGAGTATCTGATTCTTATGCTAAATCAGAAGATTATTAGCTTGGTCGTTCATTGTAAACTAAGTTTTAAGGGTTGAAACCATAATATCTTCTTAAGTGAGTGGATTTGCCTTTCCTAACTTATAGATACCAAACTATGGTGATCAGCTCATTCGTTTTTTTATTAATGCTTATACCTCGAAACTAGAGAATATTATGCCTGCATACATCTTCAAAGACTCACAAATATTTTTTAATTACTGGGCATCTACTTTTAAATGTACTTTTATATTGAGTTTAAGTGTTTTGTTTTTTCCCTAAGAGTTGAAATGGGCTCCTGTTTAAGGTTGCTGCCAGGCATAGATTTTCTTTTGATGAGTCCAGAAAATGCTGGCTGGTGGTCATCTTGCATTGTGAAACATGTCCTGCAGCTACCAGACCGTTGTCATGCCCCATTCTTCTTGTTGTTGTCGTTTTAGTGACAGCTATATTGTGCGTGTCAAGGCTGTGGTTATGACCAGAGATGACTCCAGCGGGGGATGGTTCCCACAGGAAGGAGGCGGGATCAGTCGCGTGGGGGTCTGTAAGGTCATGCACCCCGAAGGCAATGGACGAAGCGGCTTTCTCATCCATGGTGAACGACAGAAAGACAAACTGGTAATGGCAGACGTGTGGGTTAAATTAGCAACGACTAATTTCTTGACGTTAAATCATACCCCTCCTCCGTAGGTATTTTTTCCCATCTTCCTCTGACTTAAACTCTTACGAAAGCTTCCAAAGTTAGAACTCTGAAGCTGGTGCCAAATTGTAAAATGTAACCCTGGCTTTCCAGTGAAGTCACTTTTTACCACACACCGTATAACTCAGATGCTTAGAAGTCATATTTGGCTGTCTTGTTTGCGTCTTTGATTAATTAAGCTGTCTTTCTGTCACTGTAACAAGATATTCACAACAAAAGTGTGTTCTTTATTATGAATCACGTTGTAGTGAGCTGTGAAGTCAGAGTTTTTAAAAATGTAGGGTTTATTCATGGAGCATGCCATCAAGGTTTGGATGGTGAGAGGTAAAATGCGAAGGAAAGTCATCTGACGTTTGGTTACTTCTAAATAAATGTTTATCTAGAAGATACTGTAGCTTTTATTTCATAAGCTAATGAATAAAACGTGTTTGGAAAAAAAAAGTAACAAAATAGTGCTATCACACTTCTATAACAATTCTACATGCTTAAAAATAAACACCTTGGAGAGTAATCATTATCCACATGGGTGGGTGTGGTGATAGTTCATATCATAGTTTCATGAAGGAACTTAGATGTCCAGTTCTGTGTTATGAAGAAATCTGTGATAGGAAGGAAAATTGAATGTCTCAATCTATTTTTAATTGGTGGCCTTGAACCTGAAAGACCATTGCTTCTGTCTGTGTTTGATCATGGAGTGTAGACTCAAAAGCCAACTGCTGATTCAAAATGTGCAGGATCGTACAGGATCCCAACAGAGAAAATACAAAGACACCACAGGAATGTGTCAGTATTACATTTGAGATCCTTAACAGAGGCTTCTGTTGAGTTTTATGTGCTCAGGGTACAAATTTAATCTTCTTTTGCAGCGAATTTTATTGTTTAAAAAATTTACAAAACAGATAAGACAGAACAATTTGTAAATGTTACATATGGATTAACAGAAATGCTCTTTTCACGCTTGATTCATTTCTGAAAATGAAAATTAAAAGGCAGAATATAGCTCATTTTAAGAAGTATGTCCATTCAGGAAATTCCCTACATGATAGTCAAATAATTAAAACGTTCTTATTTGTAAGATAGTCACAAAGGCAATGTAACCACACTAACAATAAAAAGTAAAATAATTCCATTTATCTAGGATTTACCGTGTGCTAAATACGTTGCTTGTCCTTTAATTAAGTTGTATCCTTGTATCCTTACAGCAGCCTGTATGATTATAACTGAAGAAATTAAGATGCAGGTAGACTCCGTGTTCTTTGATGACCCATCCCGGGGGGCCCGGAACCAGTATTTGATACCTGTCACTCTGACCCCAAAACTGAGCCAAACTTACATATGCACAACCACCTTTATAGCCCATTGATGTAGTTTTGTTCCCCCTTGTGCATATTTTTTTTACATAGCTGTAATCAGAGCTCATAAACAGTTTTGTATCTCATTTGTTTTGCCTTAACTTCTTATGAGAAATTTTCCATGTTGCTGGTATCAGGTTGATGTTCCATTGTTTATTTGATGATCTCCTTAGTGTCACATATTAAAGTTCTTTCCCTCTCCCCCCTCCCCCCACCGTATTACCTGCCTGCGTTTTCCACATTTATTATTTTCTCAGAATAATTTGGGGGCATCAGATTTTTATGACTTTTGATACTTATACAAAGAACTGCTACCAGCATATATGAGAATTTCTTCTAGCACACTGAGGATCAGATATTTTAAATCTTTATCAATTTGATAAAGTAAAAGTGGTATCTTATTGTTAATTACTAATGAGATCAAATATTTTTTTGTTTGTTAAACAGTTGTAACTGAATTATCTGTTAATGTCCTTTGCATATTTACCTATTGAGGCCTTATTTTTCTCCTTGATACGTATGCCCTCTTGTGTAGTAAAGCTATCGATCTTCATCTGCCATATATACTGCAAATATTTTTATAATCAGTTGCTTGCATTTTTTAGTTGGTGTTCTTTTTCTACAAAAATTTTGATGGAAAAAATGTGTTCACTTTTTCGCTTTTTATTTATTTATTTTTGTGTGTGAGGAAGGTTGGCCCTGAGCTAACATCTGCCAATCTTCCTCTTTTTGCTGAGGAAGACTGGCCCTGGGCTAACATCCGTGCCCATCTTCCTCCGCTTTATGTGGGACACCACCACAGCATGGCCTGACAAGCAGTGCGTCGCTGCACGCCCAGGATCCGACCCGGCAAACCCCCGAGCTGCCGCAGCAGAGCGCGTGCACTTAACCACTTGCGCCACTGGGCCGGCCCTTTTTATTTTTATTATTACTTTTGTGTTAGCAGATTATCTTACCTGAACAATTATATATTTTTAGATCTATTTTTTCCTGGTATTTCTGTCATTTGTCCTAGAATATATCAACCTAAAATGGCCTTTAGATTGTCTAATCCAGCTCCTTCATTTTATAAATACATTTATAAACTTATATCTTACCACTAACTTGTACATAATAATTGTTTTTTTTTTTAATAATTTATTTATTTATTTTTTCCCCCAAAGCCCCAGTAGATAGTTGTATGTCATAGCTGCACATCCTTCTAGTTGCTGTATGTGGGACACGGCCTCAGCATGGCCGGAGAAGCGGTGTGTGGGTGTGCGCCCAGGATCCGAACCCAGGCCGCCAGTAGTGGAGTGCGCGCACTTAACCGCTAAGCCATGGGGCCGGCCCCATGTATATAATAATTGTAAACTTATACCATTTTGTTTGAGGCCCTTTATGTAAATAATCTCAGTTAAATTCCTGCTAAATTCTGAAGGAGGAAAATACTATTATCTCCACTTTGTAGTGGGGAACCTCAGTGCTCCAAGAAGTCATCCATTTCCTATTTAGGCGTGCAGTGATTAGCAGAGCCAGCATGGGGAACCATTTCATTGTGAAGCCAAGACCTAGTCCCTTCATACTGACTCTGCATACTAATAGGGCAGCCCTGGTTGTGGACCGGCTTCTGTTGTTTGTTGCTATTGCACAGGAGTGTACTTTATCCCCTCCCCTATCATGTTTCTCCATCGCTACATTCCCTCCTCCTGTCCCCTTTACATTCTTTGACTCTACACTTTTGGACTTGTACATCCACTGGTACTTAAATCATGCACCCATACACACAGTTGTGTTTCTCTGTCTTTCCATCCCTCACCTTGCCTATTTCACACTCTGGGAAATTCTGGACTCCTGTAGTCAGTGGTACTTAACCTCCTCCCCCTGCCTTGTTCCACAACATGTGTGCACATGCGTGCGCACGCGCGCACACACACACACACCCTTTGGAGATATGGTGACTCCTCCTTTGGCCTCAAAGCTTCCATAATGCAGCACTTCTGCCCATTGGAGAGTATGAACCCCCGCAGGAGTTCTGCACATGCAGTGGGTTGTTGAAGGAGCCCCCTCTAAATGGTAGAATGATGAGGAAAGAGTGGACATCGTTTTTAGAATACAGTGGATGGATGGTATCAGAGTTCCCAGTATTCCAACTAGGACATGAAATGCTTTTTCTGAGAGAAACAGTGTTGTCAGTAGTTTTTATAATGCAGTGCAGTTCTAGGAGCACGTTGGCTTTTGTTATTGTTATTTGAATTGTATGTTGAGGCCTGTGAACTTAACTGCCATTGTTTCTATGGGAAAAGTCTGTGTTCCAGATATCTATTCACAACTTGTTATTTGGATAACTTTTGTAAGTTGAGGATAATCAAGTTTTCCTGACAAATTATATGTAAATTTAAAATTTCTAAGTTGAATCCTATTTTAGATAGACTAGTGGAGTTTACTCCTTAAATGACCCCAGTGAGAAACCACCTTATGAAGATTAACTGCAGAACCTAAAGCGATCATTCCAGTCATTGCCCATTTCCAGACCCAGGAGCTCTCACACACATTTGCTGGGGGTTCCAGCTGGCAAGCTGTTTGAAAGGCAATTTGGGGGGAATTTAATTTTTTTTTATTTATTTTTTTTTTTTTTAAAGATTTTATTTATTTTATTTTTACCCCCAAAGCCCCACTGGATAGTTGTGTGTCGTAGCTGCACATCCTTCTAGTTGCTGTATGTGGGACTCGGCCTCAGGATGAACGGAGAAGTGGTGCCTCGATGCGCAACCGGGATCCGAACCCGGGCCACCAGCATCGCAGCGCGCGCACTTAACCACCAAGCCACAGGGCCGGCCCGGATATTAATTTTAAATATATATACCTTTTTACCCAGCAGTTCCACATCTAAACCATACCCTACAGAAGTAGACTTACACACAAAGATTTATGGACAGCAACAGCTCTCAAACATTTTGGCCCAGGATCCCTTTACACTCTAAAAATTTATTGAGGAGCCCAAAAGGCTTTTGTTTTGTATGGGTTATAGCTACTAATATTTACCATATTGAAATTAAAAGTAAAATTTAAAAAAAAATATTATACTGTTAGCATAAATGACATTCTTTATGACATTCTATATAACTATTTTCCAAAACAAAAATAATTAGTGAGAAGAGTTGTATTGCTTTACATTTTTGCAAATCACTTTAATATCTGGCTTAATAGAAAATTGCTAGATTCTGGTATCTACTCCTGCTTTCAATCTGTTGCAATATGTTGTTTTGATTGAAATAGATGAAGAAAATCCAGTCTCACAAAGGTATGTAGTTGGAAAAGGGAGAAGTATTTAATAGCCTTTTCAGTTAATTGTAGAAATATTTTTTTGATACTATACCAAAACTTGGCTCGTAGTAGTTTGTTAAACGTGGAATCGGAAGCCCTATCAATGAACTTTTCATACTCTGTTACATTAAAATCCGCTGATTTATCTTTCACTTTGAATGGTCTTTTCCTTGTTCCTGATTTTGTAACATTATGCATTGGTCATTTGGAAAATAATGATATACTAAGTTAAGCAGATCTTCCAAATGTTGATACATTTAATTCTACAGTATCAAAAATCACATTTCTTAACATCACCACTAATCTCATTAGAGAAGTCTTCGAGTATTAGGAAGCTGTCCAAAATTCTAATTTTCACTTGAAAGTTCAAATTTTTTTATCGGCAACAAATACCTCCAGTTGTTTTCCTCGAAGTGACAGGCTCACTGTGTTCATTTTCAAGAAAACGTCTGCCAAATACCCAAGTCTGAATAACCACAGTTTGTCAGTTGTTCTTTCAAGTAAACCTGGTGATCCATGAAAGAAGCAGTTAGTTCAACTCACAGCTGAGACAGTCGCGCAAGTCCTTTTCCTTGAGACAACCCTCATTCCTCCGTATGCGGCAGAAGAGAAAAGGCTATTAGAAATACTGTTCGCTTTTTCGGCTACATGTTTGTGCAAAGCCCGAGTTTCTTCATATATTTCAACCAAAGCAACATGTTACAGCAGATTGAATGCAGAGGCAGCAATGAGAATCCAATTATATGTACTTCCCATTTCATCACAGAAAATAAAAGATTTGTATTCAAGGGTCAAGATTTAATAATCTTTAACTGTTTCATCAAGGACAATCCTGTGTAAAACTAGCATTTTTTACTTTGATGATGTGACAGTGATGAATCCAGTGACCTTTGTACAGTTTGGTGCCACTGCACTGCCTTGATTGACACCACAGCACAGCGGTTTCACCAACCATTCCTTTTACACCATCAGCAGAAATGGCAACACAATGAAAAGGAAAAAAAAGTCTCATTATATGAAAATAGTTTTGCCATCCTGGACCCCCTGAAAGGGCCTTGAGGAGGGGCGAGCGAGGGCTCCCAGGAGCCCACAGACCAAACTTTGAGAACATGTATAAAGATGTTCAGTCCATCATTGTCTGTAAAAGTGACCAATTAGAAATAACCTAAATGCCCATTAGCATGGAGAGTGGCTGAATGATTCTAATACATCCATATGGAGGAATATTATGCAGCCATTAAACAGAAGCCTTTTTACCTTCCTGTATCTCTAAGACATATTTTTAAGGAAAATAAAAGGCAAGTTGCAGAGCAATTTTTAGGTGTGGCTACATTTAAACACACACACGCGCGCGCGCGCACAAACTTATGTGCGTATATAAAGAAGCCACAGAAAGGGAGCTGGGATAGTGCCCACCATACTGACAGTGTGTGACTCTGGAAATGGAGAGGCATTGAGGGTGTGGCGGGAGATGAGTAAGAACAGAGCCTTCATGTATTCATCTAAATTACTTAAATCTCTTACAAAATATATTTCTTGTGTAGATTTTTTTAAAGCCTCCAACAAGAATATATAATCACTTTTTTTCTCCCTATGCATCTCATTTAAAAAGATATTTTTAAAAGCCTTTCTCAAGTTTTAAGTTAATGCCAAAACTTCACTAGAGGGTTTATACCTGTCATGAAGATTAAAGCATCTGAACTTTTTCATTTTTGTCATTAAACTTAGATATGTGATGATGTCATTTTTTATTTTGTTTAGGAGGACATAAAGAGATGGTATCTGATCCCCTCCCCCTCTCAGAATTTAGGTGGCTGAACTTATTTTACTTTTCTAAGAATTTATTAAACTTCTCTAAGAAAATGTACCATTGGAATAATGTTAAACTTGGAAAATGTCAACCAAAGACTAATTTTTTTTCACCCTAAAAGTATGGAAAAACTGGAAGTCTTTGTTTTTACAAAAAGTTTATTTTGAGACTTTGAATTGAGACAATTAAATTCTAAAATAGATAACATTTGTTAGTTAAAGCCGTGGTTATTTGGATTTCCCCAGTTTGGAATGGGGCTGGGCTGACATTTAATCATTGCACTATTCTTAGGGAAAAATGGCCATAATAAGCAATTTAATTATAAATAGAACCGTGTGAGCGTACTGTTGTCTTCTTTTAATACAATGTAATCAAGTTAACTGCTTGGGACTGCTATTTGATATAAACAGTTTCACTATTATTCTCATCTATTAAGTTAGGGAACATTTATTAGGCAACACTTAATTTCTGTTTGCTTAGATGTATTCTTGACAGTTCTACTCATTTAAAGATATTCTCTGATTTGAATTTATACTAATTTAGGGAGGCCTTTACTCTTTTCCTTCGCTTAGTCTAAAATTAATAACATCTCATTTTGTTAAATGCAGAGCTTTGCCAGAACAACATCAAAGCTATTAAAACTTAGCAAAATCATTTTGGTATACATAATGAAGCCATAGGAATAAATATTGTTGATATTTTGGAGTTTTTTATGAATAAAGAATGAAGTTAACACTCACATGATTGCAATGCTTCTTTTATTCTATAATATTAAACTCTAGTATCCTTACCAAGAACGGCACTGTGCTAGACACAGAAGGAGTTATTTAATAATACATATTGATCTTTTACAGTCTGGTTAGGGGAACAAGACTAATGCACATGAAACTGTTAAAGAATAATATGAAATTGAGTGCTAAATTGTGAAGGTGACAAGAAGAAATGGAATAACTAAAAGAGTAAAACTTGATGGTAGAAATATACTGGGATGAGTGTGACCCTGTTAAGTTACTCATTATTCAGTGTTTTCAGAGCATGTTCATGTGTATGTTCTCATTGATAACGTTGGTGTTATTTCCATTTTAGAGATAAAAAGATCAAGGGTCTGAGACAATCTGCTCAAAGTCCTAGCTTAGTAAAAGGCAATTCTGAGACTAGATTGCTAAAAACTTGGAGATTGTTCTAATAATCCAGATAAAAAGTTAATAGAGATCCAGATCAGGGTGGTAGCAACTGAAATGGGGTTGATATAAAACATGTTAAAGGAAAAATGAAATGGACTTGGTGATTAATAGTACAGGGAATAGAGAAAGCAGAGGAGGCAAAGATAACCATGGAGATTTTGAGCCAGAGAGAATGGACAGAGAGAGATTGGCATTGCTAAACACGGGGAAGTTAGGAGAGGAAACTAGTGGCGGAAATTTCAGAGCAGATTAATTTTTCAACTTGTTGAATTTGAGGTCACTAGGAAATACCCATTAGGAAAGAGGAGAGAAGACTGAGAGTCATTAATACAAAGGCCCTGACACAGAAGCAGTAAACCTGGTACTGAGCAAAACCCCAAGACCTAGGCCTCAGCCTAGTGCCCCCGAGTCAGGGGCAGGAGGAAGACAAATGAGTGAGATGAAAAGTGTGGTTAAGGAGTATAGCAGTACAGTAGGGGGTCACCAAAGGCAAGAGTGGATGGTCAACAGAGGCAAGCAAAGGCTTCCTCCGAGGTGGAGAGCCTCAGATACTTGAAGGCAGGGATGGGGGGGTTCTCATTAGTTGCACCAATGATGGATAGTTCCTAGTTAAATTTTGGTAACAAGACACCATCATGACTTTCACAAGTAACCAGCCCGTGCATTTCCATCCTTCAGGTGGTATTGGAATGCTATGTACGAAAGGACTTGGTCTACACCAAAGCCAACCCAACCTTTCATCATTGGAAGGTCGACAATAGGAAGTTTGGACTTACTTTCCAAAGCCCTGCTGACGCGCGAGCCTTTGACAGGGGAGTGAGGAAAGCAATCGAAGACCTTATAGAAGGTAATGAATTTGTCACTGCATTCTCAATGGGACTTTGGGAATGTTCCAAGTTCTTTTTAATTCCAGTTGGGTCTGTCATCATATATCTGTGGTTTTTTGTTTTTTTTTTTAAAGATTTTATTTATTCATTTTTTTTCCCCCCAAAGCCGCAGTAGATAGTTGTATGTCATAGGTTCACATCCTTCTAGTTGCTGTATGTGGGACACGGCCTCAGCATGGCCGGAGAAGCGGTGTGTGGGTGTGCGCCCAGGATCCGAACCCAGGCCGCCAGTAGTGGAGTGCGCGCACTTAACCGCTAAGCCATGGGGCCGGCCCCATGTATATAATAATTGTAAACTTATACCATTTTGTTTGAGGCCCTTTATGTAAATAATCTCAGTTAAATTCCTGCTAAATTCTGAAGGAGGAAAATACTATTATCTCCACTTTGTAGTGGGGAACCTCAGTGCTCCAAGAAGTCATCCATTTCCTATTTAGGCGTGCAGTGATTAGCAGAGCCAGCATGGGGAACCATTTCATTGTGAAGCCAAGACCTAGTCCCTTCATACTGACTCTGCATACTAATAGGGCAGCCCTGGTTGTGGACCGGCTTCTGTTGTTTGTTGCTATTGCACAGGAGTGTACTTTATCCCCTCCCCTATCATGTTTCTCCATCGCTACATTCCCTCCTCCTGTCCCCTTTACATTCTTTGACTCTACACTTTTGGACTTGTACATCCACTGGTACTTAAATCATGCACCCATACACACAGTTGTGTTTCTCTGTCTTTCCATCCCTCACCTTGCCTATTTCACACTCTGGGAAATTCTGGACTCCTGTAGTCAGTGGTACTTAACCTCCTCCCCCTGCCTTGTTCCACAACATGTGTGCACATGCGTGCGCACGCGCGCACACACACACACACCCTTTGGAGATATGGTGACTCCTCCTTTGGCCTCAAAGCTTCCATAATGCAGCACTTCTGCCCATTGGAGAGTATGAACCCCCGCAGGAGTTCTGCACATGCAGTGGGTTGTTGAAGGAGCCCCCTCTAAATGGTAGAATGATGAGGAAAGAGTGGACATCGTTTTTAGAATACAGTGGATGGATGGTATCAGAGTTCCCAGTATTCCAACTAGGACATGAAATGCTTTTTCTGAGAGAAACAGTGTTGTCAGTAGTTTTTATAATGCAGTGCAGTTCTAGGAGCACGTTGGCTTTTGTTATTGTTATTTGAATTGTATGTTGAGGCCTGTGAACTTAACTGCCATTGTTTCTATGGGAAAAGTCTGTGTTCCAGATATCTATTCACAACTTGTTATTTGGATAACTTTTGTAAGTTGAGGATAATCAAGTTTTCCTGACAAATTATATGTAAATTTAAAATTTCTAAGTTGAATCCTATTTTAGATAGACTAGTGGAGTTTACTCCTTAAATGACCCCAGTGAGAAACCACCTTATGAAGATTAACTGCAGAACCTAAAGCGATCATTCCAGTCATTGCCCATTTCCAGACCCAGGAGCTCTCACACACATTTGCTGGGGGTTCCAGCTGGCAAGCTGTTTGAAAGGCAATTTGGGAGGATATTAATTTTATTTTATTTATTTTTTTTTTTTT